GACAGCGAGTCATGAAAAGAAAGGGAAAAAAAAAAAAAGATCCATCTTTTTTCTTAAGATATAATCCAAACATATCCTGCCCACTTTCCTTGTACACTAGCTAGAGTTTCACTATGATATTATTATTAATATTTATATAATCAATCAATAATGCAACACACGTACGTAGTCGACGTATATAGTTCTGGACGTATACAAAAATACACGACATTTGATATGACAGGAAACGTTATGTATGTATTTAACTGCCCTTTCCGGGTGACCACGGCGGTGGGTTTTTGCCTTTTTGGCCTTTTTGGTTTGTTTTCTGGTCCCGGCGGCATGAAGCGGGGGAAAGGGTGGGACCGGTGACTCCGTTGATTATAGAGGGGGATGGAATTAAGGATTCAAAAAGGACTGACGTGACTGGCATTGCCAAATATTTTGATATTATTGTCAAAAAGTTTTGGTCGTGAAAATCGTTGGTGTTGTAGTAGTAACTTGTTGACTTTGAGCATGAGAGTGTAAAAAAAATATTACTCTCTTCTGAAATTATTATTTAGTTTAAAATTTACTCCCTCTGTTTCTTAATATAAGTCATTTTGGTTTGTTATAGATTTCACCTAATACACATTTTTAATTGATAAAAAAATCTTAAAATTATTTCATAACAATCAAGAAAACATAACGTGAAAATATATTTTAAAGATTTTTTCGTCAATTAAAAATACGTATTTAAGTAAAACTTATAACAAATCAAATATCTTATACTAAGGACCGAAGGGAATATAATACAAATTGCACTAAAAATGAGAATAATTTTAGAAATGAGAAAATATTAGATTAGAAATATAAAGATTTGGTGGGATGAGATATTTTATTCATACTTATAGTTTTGAAAAATCATTCGAAAAAACTACCAAACAGAGTCTTAAGGCTTAAAGTGTGCGGAAACCTTTCTGGAATTCTCATTTCTCTCACCCGTACAACACGTTGAATAATTTATACGAGTACCCCTCTCACAAACAATTTTAATTCTTAATCAGAAATAGGGTAACTACTTGTGAAACTTGGGTGCAAATTCCCAATGTGCGGAAATTATAAACACTAATACTACTCCCAGTAGTCTGCAATCCCGTTTTATTGACCCGTTAACCATATTCAGGTATGTGATTGATACTGTTATAAATATTCGTAATATTCCCTCAAACTCTTAATATAAGGCATTTTGATTTGTTCTATGTTTAACTTAGTACGTATTTTTAATTGACAAAAAAATCTTTAAAATGTTAGTAACAATCAAGAGAATACAACGAAGGGAAAAATATATTTTAAAAACTTTTTCGTCAATTTAAAACGCGTATTAAATGAAACTTTGAACAAAATCAAAATACCTTATACTCCCTCCGTCCCATAATTATTGTTCAGTTTGAGTTTTCATTTCTAGTTCAAATTGTATTAAAAGTGAAATCTCAAACTGGATAATAATTTTGGGACAGAGGGAGTATTAAAAATTGGAGGGAGTAGTTTTTATCTTTCGTCAAAATTTCATGGTTCGTTTTCTTGGAATAGGTCGGAGTAAGAGAGTAAGTGATAAATTTATGTGCAAGAGAGAATCAGCATGGGCGATTCTATTGGTACATTGCAAACGAACAGGTCCAACCAAAGCTAATAGGAACAGAAAGTAGATGAAACGGTCCAAAATGTATGCTTAAAAAAACAATTACCAGAAAAAGCAACGCAAAGAAATAACTTGATCTAATATGACATGTTTCAGGCATGTAGATTATACAATTGCTTACCTTAAAAAACACTACAGTAGTATTTTTAAGATGTTCGGTGGAGGTGATAATCTTCGAAGAACACAGTAATAGCATTCGGGCATTTCAAGATTGTGAGCTTTTCCAAGCACCAACTATAAATCAAAACTAGCTAGAGAGGAAAAACCCAGGTAGGAGTAATGTACAATAATGTATCGGGAAGCCTTGAAATCACAAATTTTTGAAATTCTTTTATTATTCACGCAAAGAGATACTCCTACGGTACTATCGTTGATTCGATATTACCAAGGGAAGCAAAATGCTCTTGTAAATTGGAGTAACAGGAAACAATCGAAGAGTGAAGGAGAATAGTTAAGATTATTGTATCATTTTTTTTTTCCCGTTTAACATTGTTTGTTTATTAGTTAGAAATTTTTATTTGTTTAATCTAAATATTAATAAAAAATAAACTTAATCATATTTGAGACAAAAACAATTGTCTGAAAATGTCAAACTCTTCAAAGCAAAAAATGCATGAATGAAACCATCAAAGCTGGGCATTCTTGGAAGGCTCCAACTCTCCAAGGCCGTCCGGTGGAAGATGTAAATAATACCTGCTCTTGAAGAGTTAACAAAATCGTCAATGGTTGACCTTTTTGTTCTCAACAGAAAAGGAAAAAAAAAAATAGGAATTTCAATTGTTCATTACTCATTTCGGTTGGCCTTAGGTCAATTGTTCATCACTCATCTTAGTTCGACTGGCCTTATCTGTTAAAATTGTTATTCGATTTTGGAAAAAAAAAAAAAACCATTCATACTTATCTCTACGTTTACGCCATGGAAGATAAAGCAACAATTTAATTTCAGATGCTTAAAAATTTCAACGCTGTATATTTTTTATAGTCCATTTTTGGAAGGAAGACAAGGTCATTTGTTTTCACATTATGACAGATTATTTTGTTGACTACACATAAAGTAAAAAGTAAAAAAGCCTTTAATTACACCATGCAAGCACAGTGTCCCATGTGGTTTATTTAACGACTCGATCTCCGAGAAACAGATTTACTCCCTATTTACTACCTGACCAGGTCACCAGTGACCTTTAAAGGACTAGAAACCGCCTCTATGTCCGAGTCCAGAGTAGTCCAGCACACTGATAGAGTAGAAAGTAGAAACTGATAACTACGAGCCCTTATCTGGTTTTCAGTCTTGACTTCACGTATCAATCTTGTTATCCAGAAATGTAGGGCTTAGTCGGTAGACTTTTTGAGCTCGCATTTATCATCAGATTAAAACTCCGTAATTGGCAACGTAGACTGACCCAAGTCTTATCTTCAAATTTATTCTTTTTCCCCCCACAATTCAACAAACATATCGATTTGTAATTGTCATCTTTCTAGAATTCACAAATCCTTGTCTCACGTACGTGTTAAAATGTCGTCGAGCGCAGAAGACCAATCCCGTATTTTCTACTACACTTTTCGTTCTCACTGGGCAAATTAGACAACTGTTTGTGTAAATACTACTGCTCAAAAGGGAAATAACAACTAATTAAAAGCAAAAAAAAAAAACACCCTCATGTCACGTATATAAGTCAGTTAGATAGCAAAACTGTGAACTGCGGAAAATTCAACGGCTGATTTTGGTATATTCACTATAAGAAGACAACAAAATTAATACGCAAAAAATCCGATTGGAAATGGATGAGTAGACCATGGAGAATGATGGTGACATTTGTAAGAAGGAAAACCATTCATTCAATGACTAATGAATTGAGATAGCAATTGGACCACTGATGTCTGATAAATATATATAGATATATACACATGGTAGTAGTAGTATTAGTATCCCTCCTTTGGAGTCAGATGTCACCGATGCATGCGGATGTACATACAATTTGCATCCAATTAGATTTCAAACTTCCAATGGATGTTTTCCTCATCTAGTAGTAGTAGTATTCCACTCTTCCTTTTCAAACCAAGATTATATGGATTTTTCTATTGAAATTGACTGTTTAATATACAGTACATCCAATTTAAAGAATTTGATATATCATTACGACGTCACTCTATTGGAAGTTTGGAAACCACCCCAGCACGTTATTATTATTATTATTTTTTGGTTAAGAGGTTTCAAATTATTGGGCAGTAATAAAACTGCAATTTGGTTCTGAATTTTTTGGCATTGGCCAGTCGGTTGCAGATGGCCGCATACGACCGCTTGTTATCAAAAGCTGCCGGCAGTTTGTATGCATAAACTTTAGGCCGCATCTCCAGACAAAACAATCCACTAATTAACAATAATTCTATTAAAATAAACACAAATAACGCTAAAACCTGTAGCTAATTTGTTACTACTACTACTAGATCTTCGCTAATATCGTCATTCCCAACGTCAGATGCATTTGCGGTCAACGCCCAAATATATGCGACAATCAATCACAGATTTTGTTTGTTTTGTTTTTTGGATGAGTTTTTCGTGATAATAAAATAATAACTTTTTCATTGCAATATACTTTTTTACATTTTTAATGCATTTTTTTTACAGTTCTAATAGAAAAAATACTTAAAAATAGACACTAAAAAAACGAAACAAACGTACCCTAAACTGTAATCTTCTCCTTTCACCAAAATTACTCAAAACTGGTGATTAAAAAATAATCATCCATTAATTAAAATTCATAATTGATGGTAAGAGGGATAGATAGATACTCCTACTTGGTTAGTTAATAAATTTATTATTACCGTATTTATTTGAGTAACAAAACGTGGTTAATTTTTTTGTAAGGTAAGAAAACCCGAAAAAAGATCCAGAATCTTTCACATTAAAGTACTACTGAGCTGGGTAAGCAGGAGTAGGTGTATTAACGGCAAACGGAGAGAGAGATAAGTAGTTCCATTTTTAACCAAACACGAGCCGCGGAGCCTCGGAACCGAACCTAAAGGCGGCTAGCGTGGAAAAATTAAAAAAACTTTTTTTTTCTTTTCACTTTCATTTGGTTTTTTACGGTGGACCCGTTGGTTAAAAAGTGTCCCACCATGAGCGGTTGTCGCGTGCCGCATAGGCCACCGAGCACACGTGGCGAGCCGATACAAAACTTTAGCTGTCACGTCACAAGAGATGCAAAAAAGAAAATTTAATTACTCCTATTTTTTTAAGAACTCGAGACGTGGACCCTACTTAATATAATATCCAAACCTCCTTAGTCGACCCCACTGTTAAACACAACTAGCAAAACCCGAACAAGAAAAAGATAAAAATAAAAAAATAAAGAAAAAAGGAAAAAAGAAAAGAAAACCCAAACCCACCACCACCTTTGCCTAATACGCCCTGAATGAACCAAAAATTTGTCTATAAAAATACAGGGGAGCCATCAGAGTTCATCACTCTGCAAAGAAAATTGTTCTTCCTTGTTTCTCCCTTCTCTTGTAATTTTCAATCTCTATTTTTCTCTCTCTCTCACTCTTGTTAGTTTTGTTGGTTGGGCTTCTTGTTGTAAAAATTAAAAAGGGGGGTTTTCCTAGTTCTGATTGAATTTCGTAATCTGTTTATCTTTGTTTCGATTTTTTAGTGTAAACAAGAGAGTCTGGCTGGCTCTCTCTTCTTTATCTCGTAATCCTCGCGCTTTGGATAAGGACATCGCCCCGGTTGCCTCTCCTTCCTGATTAACTCCGAACAAATCCCTGCTTTTGGAATTCGGAATTCCACACTCCATTCATCAAGCTTGAACGGCTTCCCTCCATGCCATTTTTCAATCGGTTTTCTGGTTTTTTTTTTCTTTAATGTCGGAATTTCCCCAAAAGCTGACAATCGATTGATTTGGTTTTCGGTTTCCCGTTGTAGATCTGTGCCATTTGTTGGTTCAGATTGTGTTTGATTTGGTTACCGGTTTCCCCGAATTAACGAACTTCCATTTTTTCAATTTGGTGATAGTTAAAAATTCCTTCCTCGTTTGGAACGGGGGGAATCGGGCTTGAATATATTAAAAACCTAGAGATTTCCATACCAAATAACAAGGAATATTAAATTAACTGAAAAGGAATTTAAACTTTCTGGTGGTGGTTGGTGAAGAATGTCGGTGGCTTCGGGTTCGGTTGTTCAGGCAAAAAACAATGGCGTGGGTTCTTTGATTCCGGCGGGACGCAATGAGGCCGGAACCCGTTTCCCGTCGGTGACTAAGCCCTTTGTGAACAACCAGCTGAATGTGGTGGCGCTCAGCCGTGGAGGAGTTGTTGGCATTAGGGCGGCTGCTTCGGCTAAAAGGAGGACCAGTGGGCCTGGTTTGGAGAAATCGAAGTTTCTCGGAGCCAGGTTACCGAAAGTGCATCATTGGCAAACTGATGGTCCCGGTAAGCCTCCAAAGCTTAGGGTGTTCCAGCTGCGCTCCGCCTTGTCTCAGGTCCCCGAGAAGCCGCTTGGCCTTTATGATCCTTCATTTGATAAAGATTCATGTGGAGTCGGATTCGTTGCTGAACTTTCCGGCGAAAGTAGCCGTAAAACGGTAACTATTATCCATTTCTTTTTCAAACAATTAACACGCATACAGACATAATGGAGAAGGGGTGTTTAATGAATAAAAATTTGATCCTATTCAGGTGACGGATGCAATTGAAATGCTGGTGAGGATGACCCATAGAGGGGCATGTGGTTGCGAGACTAACACTGGCGACGGAGCTGGTATTTTGGTGGCTCTTCCTCATGATTTTTACAAGGAGGTCTGTCGTCATCACTAGTGCAGAATTGAAAATTTTGTATTTCTATTTTGTGTGTTTTTTTTTTTTTTTTGGTGGTAATGTTGTGTTTGCTTTTGTGTTTAGTTGGATGATTTTTGATTGGGGAATTTGTTTTGTGAAGGTTTTGGATTTGTTTGGACTCGTGCTTGATTTCTTTTTGTATTTCTTGGCTGTTTACTCCCCGGGTAACAGGTTTGGATTTTGTTTGGTCATGATCTAGCAGGTGACCAAAGATGCAGGCTTTGAACTTCCGCCACCTGGTGAATATGCAGTAGGAATGTTTTTCTTGCCCACTTCTGAAACCCGTCGGGAACAGAGCAAGATTGTATTTTCCAAGGTAATTTTATGCTGAATTTGGCTGGATAATAGAGCAATTGATCCGATTTCAAGCTTTTGATACTAAAAACTGGTTTTTCCCCTAGTAGCAACTAGATTTCCCTTAAAAATGTTCCTCAATATTACTCTAGGTAGCTGAATCCCTTGGTCATACTGTACTCGGATGGAGGGCAGTCCCAACCGACAATTCAGGATTGGGTAATGCTGCTTTGCAGACCGAACCAGTCATCGAGCAAGTGTTCCTTACACCGACTCCACGATCAAAGGCCGATTTGGAGCAACAGGTTTGCATGTCTAAGCATGTTGAACTCTTTCTTTCATTTGAACTCATTTAGGGACTTCTGTTTCTTATCAAATTGTCATTACTGTTTTTACCTTCTTCCCAGATGTACATATTGAGGAGGGTTTCGATGGTAGCGATCCGAGCTGCTTTGAATCTCCAACATGGTGCTGTCAGGGACTTCTATATATGCTCTCTTTCTTCCAGGTTCGTGTTGGGAAAAAATTTGTTAATAGTGTACATGTTCCTTTTTTTTGTTTATTTAAAGCTTTATTTGTGTACTGGACCATGGTTTTTGCAGAACGGTAGTGTACAAAGGTCAACTAAAACCCAATCAGCTGAAGGATTACTACTATGCAGACCTTGGGAATGAAAGGTTTACGAGCTACATGGCCCTGGTAATTATATATTCCATTCTCCTTTTTACTTTGCTGACTCCATACTTCACAACCAACAGCATGGACCCAACCAGTTAAACTGACGAGATGAAGGTTGAGGGAATGACTTCTGAGGCATTGACGTGTGAATGATCTCTTAAGTTCTTCCACACCCTTGATCAGTGTATGAATTGGATGCTGGAGTGGATTCTTTGGGTGAGTTGGTAAGGAACCTAATTACGAAGTCTTGCAATACTTGGTGGCTTCTTCCCCCGATCACTCGCTTTTAGAGGGTGAATCCTCCATAATTTGGTGTTAGAGGATTGTGCATGATCCTGGTAGTTTGCTTTGGCGGCGTTGATGCGTGCTACTTTTCCAATTATCTGGGAGAAAATTTTAGCTCTTGTGTGGTTGTGAGCATGACTTTCAATTCTGCAATGCAAGTGGAACTTGTGCTGATGGCTCTTTGGTAATTTTTGCAGATACATTCCAGATTTTCAACCAATACATTTCCGAGCTGGGACCGTGCTCAGCCTATGCGTGTCTTGGGCCACAATGGAGAGATCAATACGCTTCGAGGAAATGTTAATTGGTTAGTGTATTGATTGAATGCTCCTTTCTTTGTTGATCTCTCTATGGGAAAAAGCTCGATCCATCCTGCCCTGTTATTATCTTGAGACTGTCCATTTAGATAAACTAATATCTCTCCTATTAAGACTGACAAGCATCTGTTTCTCTTTATACAGGATGAAAGCTCGTGAGGGTCTTCTTAAGTGCAAAGAACTAGGTCTATCAAAGACAGAGATGAAGAAACTTTTGCCTATTGTGGATGCCAGCTCGTCTGATTCAGGTTTCTAACTTTCCCTTTTTTTTTTACACCAAAAGAAAGAATGAATGTCGATATTCTCACATCCCGGTGCTAGTTAGCTTGCCGTGTTATTTGGTCACATTCCATAGACAAGGTGAATGGACTCCATTCTTCCCCTACACAAATATTTCATTTGTTAGGTGGTAATACAGGGGACAGCTTGTTCCAATAAATCTCTCTTTTGAGCTGATTCAGTTATCATTTTTCATTTATCAGGAGCTTTTGACGGTGTACTTGAGCTCTTAGTCCGAGCTGGTAGAAGTCTTCCAGAAGCTATGATGATGATGATTCCCGAGGCTTGGCAAAATGACAAGAATATGGATCCTAATCGAAAGGCCTTGTATGAATATTTCTCAGCCCTTATGGAGCCATGGGATGGACCTGCTCTCATATCATGTATGAACTATTAAGGATATATGAATATTAGACTTGACTGATTTCATTGTATTAGGTGCTAGTTCTCACTAAGAGTTTGCTTTGCAGTTACTGATGGCCGCTATCTTGGAGCAACATTGGATCGAAATGGACTGCGCCCAGGTCGCTTTTATATCACGCATAGTGGACGAGTAATCATGGCTAGTGAAGTGGGAGTTGTTGATATTCCACCTGAAGATGTATCAAGGAAAGGGAGACTCAATCCAGGCATGATGCTTTTGGTAGATTTTGAGAATCATGTTGTTGTGGATGATGAGGCTCTGAAGCAGCAGTATTCACTTGCAAGGCCTTATGGCGAGTGGCTTAAGAGACAAAAGATTGAACTGAAAGACATAGTAGAATCGGTTCCGGAGTCTCAAAGGGTCCCTCCCTCAATTGAAGGAGTGCAACCTGTAAGCATAGCTTCTAATTGAATGCTTAAGATTCATATCTTTTTGATTTTGTGTTTTTTCTTTTGCGCACCTTATGCTTATTTTCTGTCACTTCAGGCTTCTATTGAAGATAACAACATGGAAAATATGGGAATTAATGGTTTATTAGCTCCCTTGAAAGCTTTTGGGTAAACATTTATCCTTCTGAAAATAGTGATTGATCTTCCCTTGGTCTTTGGCATTTCTATGTGGGCTTGCACCTAATTTATAGGGCTTCTCTTGCAGTTATACTGTTGAATCGTTGGAGATGCTACTATTGCCGATGGCCAAAACGGGCGTAGAGGCTCTCGGTTCAATGGGAAATGATGCTCCCCTGGCTGTGATGTCTGACAGAGAGAAACTTTCATTTGAGTATTTTAAGCAGATGTTTGCTCAGGTGACCAACCCTCCCATTGATCCCATTAGAGAGAAGATTGTTACCTCCACGGAGTGTATGATTGGTCCCGAAGGTGACCTAACAGAGACCACAGAAGAACAGTGTCACCGTCTTTCTTTGAAAGGCCCTCTTCTGTCAATTGAGGAAATGGAAGCAATCAAGAAGATGGACTATCGAGGCTGGCGAAGCAAGGTTTTAGATATTACCTATTCTGTGGGCAGGGGAACTAAGGGATTGAAGGAGACTCTTGACAGAATATGTACAGAAGCACATGACGCTATCAAGGAGGGTTATACTACAATTGTACTGTCTGACAGAGGTAGACAACAGCAGACTTGTTAAAATTAAGAAGTTTTTGGATTACTTTTTCATGCAATCAATCATTTCTGCTTTCTAATTCTGAATGAAGTTTAAATTTTGGGGTCATTTAGTGATGTATATGTTTCCGTTGGATAAACTGTGCAGCTTTCTCTCCAACTCGAGTTGCTGTGAGCTCTTTGTTGGCTGTGGGTGCTGTGCATCATCATCTCGTGAAGAAGCTGGAGCGCACCCAAGTTGCCCTAATTATTGAATCTGCTGAGCCCCGAGAAGTGCACCACTTCTGTACACTGGTAGGATTTGGTGCAGATGCAATCTGCCCATATTTATCCATTGAGGCAATTTGGAGACTGCAGGTTGATGGCAAAATTCCGCCCAAGGCAGATGGCCAGTTCCATTCGAAAGAGGAGCTTGTCAAGAAATATTTCAAAGCAAGCAACTATGGCATGATGAAAGTTCTTGCCAAAATGGGAATATCAACATTGGCATCTTACAAGGGTGCCCAAATATTTGAGGCAGTAGGCCTTTCATCTGAAGTCATGGAGAGGTGTTTTATTGGGACACCAAGCAGAGTTGAGGGTGCAACTTTTGAAGCTCTTGCACGTGATGCATTTCGGTTACATGAGCTGGCGTTCCCATCGAGGGCTTTCCCTGCTGGAAGTCCTGAGGCTGTGGCCCTACCAAATCCCGGTGATTATCATTGGAGGAAAGGTGGTGAAATTCATCTGAATGATCCTCTAGCTATAGCAAAGTTACAGGAGGCAGCCAAATCTAACAGTGTCGCTGCTTACAAGGAGTATTCAAAACGTATAGATGAGCTGAACAGAAGTTGCAATTTAAGGGGACTTTTGAAATTTAAAGAGGCAGTGGTGAAGGTTCCTTTGGAAGAAGTTGAGCCAGCTAGTGAGATTGTCAAACGTTTTTGTACTGGAGCTATGAGTTATGGATCAATATCACTCGAAGCGCATACAACTCTTGCTATTGCTATGAACAAAATTGGGGGAAAGTCAAACACAGGTTGGTGAATCACTGGTTGTGGAGTTTCTACTTTTTGACAAGGCATTCTTTTGAAGCTCAAGTTGTGTCTAAAGAAATATAATGGATATTGTCGTCATCATTTATTGGTATACTCTATCAACTTCATGTTCCTCAAAATGGGTTATCTCATTGTGCAGGTGAAGGAGGTGAGCAACCATCTAGAATGGAGCCTCTACCAGATGGTTCAAGGAATCCTTTGAGAAGTGCAATTAAGCAAGTAGCTAGTGGAAGATTTGGTGTTTCAAGTTTTTACCTTTCAAATGCTGATGAATTGCAAATAAAGATGGCTCAGGTACAGCTTTCTTCTATTGTTTTACATCTATTTTGTTCTACATTCCAACAATTAAAGTTCCTCCATACTTTTAATCCCTGTCGTTAGGAGCTGCCCCTGCCCCTTCGTTTATGAACATGTTCATGGAGTTATGATGCTGTATTATACATACATGACTTCTTGATTTCTTCGCATTTCTTGCCGATAGGTCGGCTTTTGGATAATTGTAAGAAACTGTTAGCTTTACATGTTTGATGTGGGAAGATGGTCATAATAAATATTTGGTTTTATTATTGCAGGGAGCAAAACCTGGAGAAGGTGGGGAACTTCCTGGCCACAAGGTCATTGGTGATATTGCTGTGACTAGGAACTCCACTGCCGGGGTTGGACTGATTAGCCCTCCTCCACATCATGACATATACTCTATTGAAGATCTTGCTCAACTAATTCATGATTTAAAGGTAATTTATGTCACTTTATCGCATGTTGTGGTTCTTCCAAGGCCCTTGCCTACCTTTCAATTGTTGTGGTGTTCTTGTTGGTAGTTTTAGTAGGTATGCTTTCTCCTGACATTCTTTTTGAATGCTGCAGAATGCAAACCCTGGTGCCCGAATTAGTGTGAAATTGGTTTCTGAGGCTGGTGTTGGGGTAATTGCAAGTGGTGTAGTAAAGGGTCATGCTGACCATGTTTTGATCTCTGGTCATGATGGAGGTACAGGTGCCTCAAGATGGACTGGCATCAAGAGTGCGGGGCTCCCATGGGAACTTGGCCTTGCGGAAACTCATCAAACTCTAGTAGCAAATGACCTACGTGGCCGAACAGTTCTTCAAACTGATGGCCAACTTAAAACTGGAAGAGATGTCGCAATTGCTGCACTTCTAGGTGCAGAGGAGTTTGGGTTTAGTACTGCTCCCCTCATAACTCTTGGCTGCATCATGATGCGAAAGTGCCATAAGAACACTTGTCCTGTGGGTATTGCTACCCAAGATCCAGTCTTGCGAGAGAAATTCGCCGGGGAACCGGAGCATGTGATAAATTTCTTCTTTATGCTAGCAGAGGAAGTGAGGGAAATCATGTCTCAGCTTGGTTTCCGAACACTTAAAGAAATGGTCGGTCGATCAGATATGCTTGAAATGGATAAAGATCTGGTCAAGAGTAATGAAAAGCTAAAGACCATTGATCTCTCACTATTACTTAGACCTGCTGCTGATATTCGGCCAGATGCTGCACAGTACTGTATACAGAAACAGGATCATGGACTCGACATGGCCTTGGATAATAAACTGATAAGCTTATCCAAAGCCAGCTTAGATAGAGGAATTCCAGTATATATTGAAACTGCTATCTGCAATGTAAACCGTGCTGTGGGAACCATGCTTAGCCACGAAGTGACAAAAAGATATGGCATTCTTGGACTTCCATCTGATACAATCCATATAAAATTCAATGGAAGTGCTGGCCAAAGTTTTGGAGCCTTTGTTTGCCCTGGTATCACAATGGAACTGGAAGGAGATAGCAATGATTATGTCGGAAAGGGGTTATCAGGGGGTAAAGTAGTTGTTTATCCCCCTAAAGGAAGCACATTTGACCCCAAGGAAAATATTGTAATTGGTAATGTGGCTCTCTATGGTGCAACTGCTGGTGAAGCCTATTTTAATGGGATGGCAGCAGAAAGATTTTGTGTTCGCAATTCGGGGGCAAAAGCAGTTGTTGAAGGGGTGGGTGACCATGGATGTGAATACATGACAGGTGGTACTGTGGTGGTTCTTGGGAAAACGGGTCGCAATTTTGCTGCAGGCATGAGTGGTGGAATTGCTTATGTGCTTGATGTGGATTCCCTATTTCAATCTCGTTGCAATTCCGAACTGGTTGATCTGGATAGAGTTGAGGAGGAAGATGACATCTTGACTCTGAAAATGATGATCCAGCAGCATCAGCGCCATACAAACAGCTTACTTGCAAAAGAGGTTCTTGCCAATTTTGACAATCTTTTGCCTAAATTTGTTAAGGTATTCCCTAGGGATTACAAAAGAGTACTTGCTGCGATGAAAGATGAGGAGGCTGCCAAAATTACTGCAACAAAAGTCGAGGAGCAAGAAGAAGAAGAATTGATGAAGAAAGATGCATTTGAAGAACTTAAAAAATTATCAGCTAAAACTATCATCGAAAATGCCCAGGTAAAATATGTTTCCTTTTGGTAGAGGTAGCCCGTTTTTTGATTGTTTTTTACAGGAGGTAGTTTATGTTCTCCTGTTTGGAGTAATCCTAGGCGTGTTTGCCTTCCAGAGTCTGCTAAGATTCCGTAGTAGATTTCACTGAGTTTGTTTTTAATTTATCAGGTACAAGAGGGAGAACCAAAAAAGAGGCCATCTCGGGTGGATGGTGCTGTGAAGGAAGGAGGTTTTGTTCGATATGAGCGCGAGAGTGTCTCATATAGGGATCCCAATACTCGGATTAATGATTGGTTAGAAGTGATGGAAGAATCAAAACCATCAGCACTTCTCAAAACACAGTCAGCTCGATGTATGGATTGTGGGACTCCATTTTGTCATCAGGTATTTCTCTCTTTTCAAATCTCTGTATGGACATTTACAGTTTTCATTTGCAGTCTTGGTTATGTTGTTGAATAGTTCTTTTAACTAGGACTTTTATCTATCCTTTTTTTAAATATTTAATAGGAAAACTCTGGATGTCCTCTTGGGAACAAGATACCTGAATTCAATGAGTTGGTATACCAGAATAGATGGCGGGAAGCATTAGACAGGCTTCTTGAGACTAACAACTTCCCGGAATTCACTGGCCGGGTATGCCCTGCGCCATGCGAAGGTTCTTGTGTACTAGGTATTATTGAGAATCCCGTCTCCATCAAAAGCATTGAATGTGCCATCATTGACAAAGCTTTTGAAGAAGGATGGATGGTACCAAGACCTCCACCCAGGAGAACTCAGTAAGTTTTGAAGTTCTTTTAACTGATGGGCTATGGTTCTACTCAGGAACTGCTCCTTTAGTCGTCTATTATGTGATGATTTGTTGAATGAATTGTCTCTTTAATTCTGTACAAAATATTCTATCTTTTTTATTGCAAAAATTTTACCATATCCCTTTACAGGAAGAGAGTTGCAATTGTTGGAAGTGGACCTGCTGGCATGGCCGCTGCTGATCAGTTGAACAAAATGGGCCATAATGTTACAGTGTACGAGCGGTCTGATCGAGTTGGTGGTCTGATGATGTATGGGGTTCCCAACATGAAAGCTGACAAGGTTGATGTAGTTCTGAGAAGGGTCAATCTTATGAAAGAAGAAGGTGTCAACTTTGTTGTCAATGCCCATGTAGGGAAAGACCCTACATACTCCCTTGAACGGTTACGGGAGGAAAATGATGCTATTGTTTTGGCGGTGGGATCTACAAAACCTAGGTTCGTTGATTTGGATGGTCCATCAATCTTCTTCAGTAAATATAGACGTTGCCCTTGACGCTTAACAGCTCCTTATTCATGCTGCAGGGATCTTCCGGTTCCAGGTCGTGAGCTCTCCGGTGTCCATTTTGCCATGGAATTTCTCCATGCCAATACAAAGAGTTTACTTGATAACAATCTGGCAGATGGTAATTACATCTCAGCGAAGGGCAAGAAAGTTGTAGTTATTGGTGGAGGTGATACAGGTACCGACTGCATTGGCACCTCTATTCGACATGGTTGCAGTAGCGTTGTAAATTTGGAGCTTCTTTCCCAACCTCCAAAATCAAGGGCTCCAAACAACCCTTGGCCACAGGTTAGAATTTATCTGTGTTCTATGGTAGGCCTACTTAAGTATTTATATATGTAAGAATTTGCGATATCCTAACACCCAATACGTCCAATGTTAAGCTCTTTGCACTGGCCTTATGACATTCTCCTGTTTCTTTTTTATTTTTTATTTTTTAGTGGCCGCGGATATTCCGGATTGATTACGGCCACCAGGAAGCCGCTGCCAAGTTCGGTAAAGATCCAAGGTCTTATGAGGTATTGACTAAGAGGTTTTTGGGAGATGATAATGGAAATGTCAAAGGACTGGAGATTGTACGTGTCCAGTGGGAGAAAGATGCCACTGGAAAGTTCCAATTTAAAGAAATTGAAGGCTCTGAGGAAATCATTGAGGCCGATCTAGTTTTATTAGCTATGGGCTTTCTTGGTCCTGAATCGGTTAGTACTCTCAAGTTCCTACAGTGTACCTTTGTTCATGTTGATGTCTGATTTGGCATATATGATTCTGCGACTTTGTTTTTCTGTGTTTGCTTACCCTTTTATTGTTGTTATCTGAGTAGACTATACCAGACAAGCTTGGAATTGAGAAAGACAACAGATCAAACTTTAAGGCAGAGTATGGACGGTTCTCCACCAGCGTAGATGGAGTGTTTGCAGCAGGAGACTGCAGGCGGGGTCAATCTTTGGTGGTATGGGCCATCTCTGAAGGGAGGCAAGCAGCAGCCCAAGTTGACAAATACCTTATGAAAGATGACATAGACGTTAGAAGTGATAGCGTTAGACAGGAAGTTGCAGATGTACACAAGGTAGTAACAGGAAGGACATAAAAGAGAGAAGAAAGACAGAAGCACCTTGCGTCTCTACCAAACGGAGAATTTTAATTTTTATTTTTATTTTTATAATATCCAAGATAGAATACAACTTTCTTTAGGTCAGATGGATTTGGAGGATCCTTTCTTCATCATCATTGTCATGGGGGAAAAAAAATGGTTGCAAGCACCAATGCAGCAGCATATCAAAAGTTGAAGAACACGGAGTGGTAATGTGGATTTTGTGCCAGAAGAAGGATCTGAATGGGATGAGATAAGAGTGTAGTGTAGGGATGTTTTTGTTTTCCCTCATTTTGTGATTATAAATACTTTGGGTGTATTTTATGGTATGTCGATAAGTTTAGGGTTTTCACGCAAGTGGCTGTTGTCAGTTTTAGTGAGGGAGAAATAATGTACAGTTATAATATTTTGATCTTTGCAATTGGAATCGTCCTTACATGGTGAACTTTGGATTGAAATTTTGAGACCGTCTTGATTGAATTTCAATGTAAAATGGGAAGACAGAGCAAGGACGTTCTGAGAGAACGAAAATGAATATTCCTATTTTGAATTGTCTCAACAGTCAAATCTCAATTTCTTAAAAACCGAATTGATTTTCTGGCTGTAATAATAATATAGAACTATGGTTTCAACTTTCAACCGTCAATCTTTAGACTTAGCCGGTGGACTCCACCTACAACAAATACTTCCGTAAGGAAGGAGAACTCAGACCACCATCTTGGTTTGCAACTTCCTACTGCTTTCTGTCTCTCTGCAACATTGATCAAACCACACATGTATCACAAAGGTGTTCTGCAAAGTGTGTTATGAAAATGTAACTACAAGCTGAAAATTGAACTAATGTTCTTTTGTATCTTACCCAAAGTCTTGAAAATCACCCAATCGGATACGTTCTGTCAAAAAACGTACAAAGAAAAAAAAAAAAAGAATTAATTATAACCCGAAAAATACATAAAAACCTACATACATTGTTCATTCAATATAGAAAAGCCACCTACTTGTTTCAAGATAGCGACATTCGATACCCCAATCCCTTGCTAGTATAAATTGTCGGATCATCTCAGACAGAAATCAAACAAATCTTGGGAGCACTCTTAACTGTGTTACAATATATCAATGGGGGAAAACAGCTATACAAATTCGTTAGCTTACCACCATTTCGATGTAGATTTTCTTGACATTGACAAGGACTTGGTCCAAGGTGATTGACCTGATGGCAGTATCAAACTTGGGCAACCCAGATAAAACAGTTTCACGCAGTGGGTTATCCACCGCCACCTCATATGCTGCCACCTTATGGTCAACAATCTGCAAGGGGGAAAAAAAAACACACCCCAATTGTCCATTCCCTTCAAACATGAATAACAACAACAACAACAACAACAACAACCGGCGATTACTAAAATAGTTTTCAGACCTGGTAGTGAAGCAGGGAGTCGAGGCGAACGGTGTGTCCATCCTTGGTGGTGGCCGTCACTTTGTACACAGGGACTGACGTGGGTCCCAGGGGTAAAACATAGGCTACCCGGTGAACCAAGGGAATCAATAGATGATATCCACAAGTCAGCGTCTTGGCATATTTTCCGAATCGCTCTACAATGTAGACTTCGTCCCGATGCACATACGGAATAACCCCATTCCCAGTCGCATATCTCTCCGGCCATTTGATTGTGCCCCCTCAATTGGTGGGGTTGGTGCCGAATTGACGGCCGGCGGAAGCACCGAAAACGACTGGATGAGTTGGCGATATGAGATTGGAGTGGCCCTGCTAGTGCCGCCGGAGGTGAAGAAAGGTGGAAGGAGCGGTGGAGATTGCTCGGAACCCTGAGGAGTAGTAGTGGTGGTGGTGGTAGAATTGTTGGAGCAGCCGGAGTTGACTTGGCGACCGGAGAAAGGATCTCATCATAATATGCGGGGGTGGGATCAAGAAGAAGAGCACCTGAGAATTCTGCTGCGTTTGCCTCTTCTCCGGAAAACCTCTTACAAACGATATAAAAATTAAGAACCCCTCGTGAAAACCCTTGGCCCTTTGCGAATTCGGGGACGAAAAGATCGTTTTGTTATATTAAAAGACAAAAAGAAATAAGGACAAAAAGCCCCAAACTGTGTTCCCAGAGACCTCGAATTTTTTTTAGAAGGACAAAAACACCCTCTCAAGAATCACTAAAAATAACCAAGATGGTTATAAGTATATTTTTAAATAAAAAAATTCATAAATTAAATTTACAATCATACTCCAAACTTGTTTATAATTTTCAAAGTATAATGACAAAACTACTCCAAACTATATTTCTATCCCCTGATATTAAATAATCACATTATCATTTTCAATATTTGTAATTAAACTAGTTCGCTCATATATTCATAAAAAAATAGACATTATCAAAATTTACAAATTTAAATAGGAGATTTATAATGCTCCAAGTTTTCATTAAGTTGTGCAAATTATAGAGGTTTATTGTCGAGGAAAAGAGTATTAGCGAAAGTTATAGAGATTCTCAAATTTGTGGATTAAAACAAAACGTATATTAACATAATTATTATTAAATTTGTCAAGAGTGTTACGATTTTTTTTTTAAAAAATAAAAAATCAAGGGCATGCAAGATTCGGACATAGCTTGGGAGTCTATGTGATTTTTCAAACTACCCATAATATAATAATAATAATAATTTAAAAAAAATACTTTTGTCATTTTACTCTACTAACAGTCACTATCTCATTGATAGAGGGTTAAATTGTCTATTTAAACGTAATTTAGAGGATTATTTATCCTTTCAGTAAACATCGAGGGGTACTAAAAGAAATAAAGGGTTAATATCAAATATACCCCCGAGGTTTATCCGATCATCAAATACGCCATCGTCTTTTGAAGAAATATAAAAAACCCACGTTAACTGGTGAGTCAAATATCAAATCTACCCACTGATGAATGCTGAACTAGACAAATGATGTCAGCAAAGAATAGTACTAAGAAGACACATTTGCCTTTTTTTACTCCAAAAAATCGTGTCATTTTTTTCCTTTTTTCCGCGTGACTAAAAGTTCCCGGCGGCTGGTCGGCTACTCCAACCCTGTGATCACGGACGGCATGAAGGCGACCTTACAAAAACTACATAAGAACTATGTCAAACAGAAGCAATAAAAAGAAAACCTAAGAGAGTTTAGGGTGCAACTTCTAACTGCTGCAGCCTGCAAGGTACTGATCACAGGGTGGTTTGGTACGCTGTGAATCGAAATGAAAAAAAAAGAAAAAAAAAGGACTCTTTACTCTTTTAAACCATGATGACAATACTAATAAGTTATTACTGGGCCGGGCCCTGGGCGAGGCACTCATCGCCTCCCCTCAGAACCAGCTCTGCGTGATTGATGCCTTTCGGTTACATGAGCCAGTGGCTTAACCAAATTAAATCCTGGTGATTAATCATTGCAGGATAGGTGGTAAAATTTATTTGAATGATCCCCTAGCTACTAGCAAAGCTACAATCAATCACTGCAAACAATGTCATCCGAGTTTCAACTTCTGTCTCTCTGTCCTTCAAATATTATGACAAGGTTTCTGCCTTTGTGTATGTTGTACGCGGCTAAGGGAATGCAACTGCATACAGGGGCCGTTGTTTCACTCTGCTGTACTCCTTTTCCTATACATACTACAACTTCCTCCGATCTCCACCTATTGATCCTTTGGAGCTTCAACCATCCCACAAGTTCTTTCCATAACTCAGTATAGGAAATGGGCTTATAGTAGAAGATTTGGTGAACTGCAGTCTCATTTGGATCTCCACACAAATTACATGTCTTGTTTTCCACTTGAAAATGCAGCCAGGCTATGTTCTATCTTTTGTAAGCAATCTTTTCCGCGCCAAATGGAATACTTTTTGTTTCGTTTTGGATCCATAATAACTCCTATCTTATACTAAAGTTTTCAATAGAATGGGAACTTTAAAACCACATGAAAAGTTGTATTAGTTCTAGGAATCTTTTGTTCACTTTTTTAGAAAAATTAGTAGCATAAATAAAAACTAGAGCTAATATATAGCTAGTAGTAGAACAATAATAAACTTTTGCTATTCCAACAGCTTTCAATTATCAGAACTTGTTGGTACGACATCAAAATGTTAACACTTAATAGTAAATTAAACTACTTTTACACTTGGTAAAGCAACACTACTTGGGTACTTTCATACTTGATAATAATAGATATACTAACAAGAACAAGGTTTCAACAGTCATCTCTGGGATAAGTTGGTTGAACAAAATCTATAACTACTCCCATAATAGTTGCAAAAAAGAACACACTTACGTGATCGCCCTACTCCTGGTGATTGATTCCACTTTCAGGTACAACCTACATTTACAAATTAGTTTTTCTTTTCAGCACAAGGATCATGTTTCCCAGTAGAATGTAAGCAAAGATGACTATCTAAATTTCCCTCAGCATTGTCGATTAATACTCATGATTTTCCCATATCCACATAATTGTTGGTAAACTAAAACAGAACTATCCTTACATTCATATTTGCATACATATACATGACAAAGATGTATATGTATGGAATTACAGTGACCAGTGTTGCTTTATGAGAAATGGCTGCATGCTGAAACTGAAATATGTCTTCTTGTTGAAGTCACATTCATTGTTTCACTCAAATCGAACACACTCTTGTCAGAAAACCGCAAAAAACCAAACAAAAGATTTTAAGAATCAATTATAACTCAAAATTCAAAGGGATGCATCCAACTTGTGACTTACTTGTTTCCAAAGAGAAACATTCCAAGCCCCAATCCTTACCTAGTCCATTCATAACAGCCTACACAAAAATAATAAAAAAATGGTTGATCCAGTGGCCAGACTAGAAAGCTCTTTCAAGCAATCCAAACTCCAATGCTCCCCAGCAAAACTGAGGGACAAGAAACAACCAAGTTCAAGAAAATTGGCCGATCAACCATGAGTTTAGGAAAAGAATAATTCAAACAAATCTCCCAACAAAAACTCTAACAAATATCATCAATTGGACAACTATATATTACTGTGCTAAAGACGCAAACGGCCATGCCTGGCAACTTTTATCCGTAGCTTACCAACATTTCCCTGCTTATTTTAGGCAAATTTTCAAGCACATTGTCCGCGGTGATCGCCCTGATGGACGAAGTATACTTGAATGACGCTCGTAAAAGCATTCTACACAATGGGTCATCAGACTCGGCTGCAACTTAGGATCAGCAACCTTCAAAAACCATCAAAACCATCAAGTAAGATGGAAAATAGATCAATTACAAGCTTCTGGATGTAGTATTATTAGTAAGGAGGTTAAATCAGTATTAGAAGTAGAAAATCCAAAATTCATTCATACCCGGCAGTGAAGTAGTGAGTCCACATAAACGAAGCGGCAATCCTGGGTACAGGCTCCCATTTCAAGCATGGGGACAGACATCTGATCCGATGGGAAAACGTATGCTATCCTTTCAACCAAAGGAATCAAGAAATGGGTCCCACTAGTCAGAGTCTTGGCATATCTTCCGAATCGCTCCACAACATAGACTTTGCCTGGCGGCACAAAATGGACACCCAGATTTGGGGTCGTGTACTTCCTAGGCCATTCGATTCGGTCAGCACACATCATTACTTCCAGGGGGTGGGGATGCCATCATCGCAGGAGCGGAATCGACGACGGCGGTGGAATTGTTGGAGCAGCCGGAAAAGGGATCTCATCGTGATTTGCTGGCGGGGTAATGTGGATTTCGTAGCAGAGGAAGGATCTGAATGGGAAGAGATAGAATGTAGTGTGGGGATGTTTTTGTTTTCCCTTCATTTTGTGATTCTAAATATTCTGGGTGTATTTCCTACAAATGAAATTGTAGTTTGGATTAGGTGATACTACAATCTTTTATCAAAATATAAAATAGTCAAAACTTTTTAAAAGATTGGATTGAATTTGATAGGTGATACATGATCATCTTTCATCCCAAAAAGAATAGTCTTTCGAATTGACGGAGACTCTGGTTCTAAACTTCCAATCAATTAACTACAACAATCAAGGTGCTCATAACATACTACAAGGGGAGTATGTAACTACGAATTCTTACTTCTTAGAGTTGAGTCAGTGGACTACATCCATAAACACTCCCATCATAGTGATCTCTTGCAACTTTTGATCATGCACTCCTTCGGTTGCATGAATTGGTTTTTGCTATCAAAGGGGTTTCCCTGCAAAAAAAAAAAAAAAAGAAAAGAAAATAACAACAAAAGATCAATACCAACAACCATAAACATAGTTTAATGACATCAATAGAAAGCTCTTTCAAGCAACCCAAACAACAGTCCCCCTCTTCCCCCAGCCACAAAACTACGAGAAGTTTTCAATCCATCCAAAGAGAACATTTAAAAATCAACCATTTTAGGATCAGAACTATATTCAAACACAAATGTCCGACCAACAACTCTTCAATAAAATGGACAACTAGAAGTCTAGAAAACACGGCCACTTCAATTGATAAAGAGTAATGGAGCAAATAACAGCAAATACATAGTGTTTAGCTTACCAGAATCTCCTTGTTGATTCTGTGTAGAGTTTCAGGAACTTTGTCCAATGTGATCAACCTGATGGAAGAACAAAACTTCCCCACAGCAAATAGAATCAGTAAACGCAACGGGTTATCAGGATTCGCTGCCATCACCGGGTCAAAAACCCGGTATTGAAGTACTGAGTCCTGGGAAACACTCTTACGATCCCAGGTAGAGGCTTCGATTGGGAACAAGGGGACAGACGTCTCTTCTACAGATAAAACGCTCACAATTCGGTCAACAAAGGGAATCAATAGATGGGTTCCGTGAGTCAAAGCCTTGGTATATCCTCCGAATCGCTCGACGATGGAGACTTTGCCCGGCGGCACAAAATGAATAGCCAGATTACGGGTCGCATACCGCACTGGCCATTCGATTGGGTTCGCACGAATCCTTTGCCACATGCTGATGCGGCGGTAACGGGCGGCGAAAGCAGCGGGAAGGGGTCGATGACGAGGCGATATGTGATCGGACTGGGACTCATCCTGCTTCCGGCGGCAAATGAGTGGGGGAGGAACGGTGGAGATAGCTCGGGTAGGGGAGGAGCATCTGTGGTGGTGGTGGTGGTGGTGGTGGAATTTTTGAAGCAGCCGGCGTTGATTTGGCGACCGGAGAAAGGATCTCATCAGATTCATGGTCGGATGGGGGTTTGATTGATGAATCATGCTGCCGCGTTCGCTATTATCTTACCGGAGGGTGAAAAGTGAAAAACTGAAAACAGTCAACCAATCTTTTGGTTTTGGTTATTACTATTTACTACTACTTATGTGATACAATATTTTGATAAAGTTTTTACTATGCAACAGTTATTCCTACTCTGTAAATCTGATTTACTATGAACAAGTTTTTTACTAGGGGTATTATAGTAACACAAAATGCACATCACAAGTGGTCTAATCTGACAACGACGTTTGACTCTCTTTTTTCTGAGTTTTGATTTTGGACACATTGCTATCTAACCTGAAAACAGCTAGCTATTCCCTTTCTTTACTTCTTTTCAGTTTTGTTTTTGTGCTGAAAAAAACTAGCTAAAGTCAGGGCAGGGATGGTCTCTTTCAAATCCCTGGATTTGTTTCCTTCTTTACTGACCTACACAGATTGTAGCCAATCGGCGACTTCTTCCGGACCTTGAAGCTTTTGGCGTTTTGTTCTTTTTGTCCATGTCTCTTTTCAAATCCATATTTATCTCTCTTTCTTTTACTCCATGAAAGCCAACAAAGGCCAGAGAAGTGTATATGTCTGTGCTCTCAACACATTGTTTATCATATGTCCCAAACCTATGGATAATCCCCAATTGAAATGTAATCTCCCAAACATTGAAATGACTAGCAGTGTCCCCGTCGATTTTACTCTCTCTATTTTTCCGTTTAAACTTTTATTTTTAGTTTAAATTGTAATAAACGTGAACTGATGAATGATAATTTCGAGGCGAAAGAAGTAAAATCCCACAATGTCAATAGTTATGTTATAATTTGGATGAAAATTTTCAAATTGATTTTTCAATAAGTTTATTATAAATTAATGTATATTGAAGCCATATTTTGCTTGAAAGTTCAATCCAAACAATAAATAATTCTAAATTGTTAGCCTGCGCCTAAAGTCATTTTTTTTTTATCTGAAAGTGATTAGGGGAACAATATGTTGAAAACGAACTAACGCAATCCAACAAATTTAATTTGCTCATACATAAATAACATATACAACCAATTTTCGTAACTCATGCAAGACCTTCAAAGTCCTAATGAACATTTTGATTTTTTCTTTTTTCTTTTTTTTTCGGTTTAATAAACAAATTTTAAATTTATACACAATTCAGAATATAATGATGATGGAGTCAATAAAATAAAAAAGAATGGATACAATATATTTTTTTGGTACAAAAGATTACAAAAAAAATATGAAAATTACGGTCTAATTTGGAGAGAGAAAAGTTGTACACTTTTACTTACTCTGTCAGTGTCTCTGTTTCACGCAACAAAACAGAGGCTGTCCTTTCTGATCAATCACCCCAGCCAAGACCACCATGAACCTTCTAAGGTGCTCCGGCAACCACCTCCGGCGGCTCAAAGAGCTCTGTCGCCGTCAAATTTCCAGTTCCCACCGCTCTTACCCGTTCTGTTACGACGGCCTTACACCACCACCATTCGGCCCCCGCCACCACCTTCAGCCTCATTCATACCTCCACCGCCACGACGGCTCATTTCTTCATTCTCTCCGCTCAACCTCCGGCGAATCAAAGAACTGCAAACCTCACTGTCTGCAAAGGAAGTCCGACGACAGGTAAACAAGTTGGCATGCTTTTCTCGATTATATAAAATGGACACAGTTATGGTCTATAGTTATAAATGTCATTCTCTTTCGGATAGCTCTTGTATTGTTTACTTCAATTTAATACTGGTTTCTTCATGATGTTATTTACAAACCCTAACGCGAATTGTTTTCGATTTTTTGAAAGGTTGGGGAGATTTTACCTCTCTATTCTTCTAAGTGTGTGGGGGTTTTTCTTGGTGCGGAAAAATAAGGCCTACGTAATTGAGCGCAGAGACATGTATTTCAAGACTGTGCATGAAGGAATTCATCTAAAGATTCCAGCTGTCGATAAGATTGTGTTTGGATTTTCGTTGGAGAGTAAAACTATACATGTTCCCTATCACTCTGCTACAACAGGAGATGGACAAAACATAACCATTTCCTCCATCCTTATTGTACAGGTACTGTATTAATCTCTCGGTTTGTTTTCATTTCATTGTAAATTATGTTTGGAATAAGGAAAAGGAAATCGGTGACCTAGGTGGTTAGCCTCAATTGAAGTCGGTCATGATAACATGTCATCAATTGAATAGGATATAAACCTGGGCGTAGAACCATTTGTTATCATCTTTCCTAAGGAAAATACTACATGCCTCAATTTAATGCATGATGAACAGAAATGATTTTTTTTTTCCCTCTTGAAGTCTCATATTTCGAGTATTTTTGTGTCGAACATTTAACATTTTAGGATGAAAAAGTCTGAATGAGAAACAAATAAACACACTTAGGGAAAAAGCTATTGGTCGAATGAAGGATTGGTTAACCGTTAATTTTATTAGTTAGATTGATTTAGTGGATTCATTTCCATCACATTGAAAATAGTTAGTTACAAATAGAAATCCTGATGGTAGCCTGCTTGACATGATGATAGAAAATTATCATGCAGTAGCTTAGGAATTGTGGAGGATTTCCACTTGGTTAATGACTCACTCATGTTACATTTTTCGACGAGTTTATTACCACTCATTTGGGAACTAATCCCAGGAGCCTGTAGTTTGAAGAGATCACATAAAAGTTAAAAACTCATTTACCAAGCTAGCTATGCAAATTGACTAAAATGTGAAGGATAATGAACGAATACGTGTAGATAGAGTAGGTCCTCTTTGTATTATGAAGTCCGAGTGCTATAAATCAGGCCAAAGAAAACTATCTTTTTCAAGGTCTTTATTCTTTCCAATGTTTACATTATTCTGTAACTTCACATCTTCAAAACACCAAAACGAGAAGAAGCAAAAAGACCATGAACCTACAGTAATATCTCATTCTTTGCTAATTAATGTCAACTGGTATCTATTTTGCAGGTGATTGAACCTGTTAAGGTTTTGTATGGAGACCAGAAAGCTATTGATGCTGTGATCGACTTTGTGCTGAACAGGCTAAGGGAGGAGGTTAAGGATCGGACATTGGAGGAATTTACTCGTGATAGAAAGATTATATGCTTGAAGATAGAAGTAAGATTCGCTGAAAAACATTGGCACTATTTCATTTCCTATTTCAGTTCTCATGAGTTTTAGCTATTTACATTCCTAAATTTAAATCTCATAAGTGAGTTTTAACTATTTAAAGGTAGCTGTTGCTGAAGTGGCAGCTTCCAGAGGCTTGTTGTGCATTGGTTATCGAATGGGTATGTTATGCGTGAGATTTGATTTATTAAATTCAACGTAATTTGCATATTGCTCTAGATTTCCTAAAGTTGTGTGAGTTCTTTCAAAGAACTAAATCTAATGGACTGCGAGTTCATTCTTTCAAAGAATCAAAGTCGAAATATTTTGTTGCCTAGAAACCCAACAACAAAACATGATTTTAGATTTTTGAGCAGAAATATGTTTTGGAGTGAGAATGTATTTTGAGAACCTAGTCTAAACTGAGCCTTTTTATTAATTGGAGAATGCATTTTTCTTTTCAGTCGCCGTGGTCTACCCAAATGATGTCCCGTATATGTTGAGGAAGCTGCCGAAGGGTCTTTGCAACGCAGTGTTTAAAATTGTTAAATTCTTCTCCGAGGCCATATACGGTGTTCCAACCAATGTCAAATGGATGCAGCATTTTAGATGATATATTGATATGAAACGAAGGCAGAACCATGGTGGTCTATTTCTTAGGTTTGCACTTTCATATGCTTGGAAGTTAGGCATGAATATCAAGGGAATGATCCTTTATTTTTGGTAACTAATGTTTGGTACCTAATTCACTAATACTAGTGGTTTCTCTGCTGTGACTTTAGAGTTCATTTCCTGAATTATTGTTTTGAGGAGAAAGAGATCTATTAGTGCCAATATTGGCATTGCCATTGAAAGATCAATGATGCTGATGGAGTAAATAGTTATAGTTTTATGGTGCTTAGCTTTCTTGACAGCCTACGTAGAATGAAGATGATTACTTTGATGGTTATTCAGGTTCCGATGTTTGGCTTTTTGTGATTACCTGAGCTTAATGTTTTATTTTTATCTTGCAAAAGTAGAACAGCCAGCTGTTTTGAAAAGAGTTCGTATGGATACTAGATGATCTTAGGACTCAGAATTGGCTATGCAGGCTAAAAGCCTGTGTATCTTATTTCCAGGATGTCCGTCTCATCTCCAGGATATTAGTAATATTTTTAACTCTATCGGTTTCTTTTCGTGCCATTTTATCATTGCACTGTAGCTCAAAGCTCAACATTACCTGGAGAATGACCTCATATCTTTTGAATCCATATGACGCTATTACCGGAGAATGGACAGGAGTTTTCTCTGGGAATTGGAAGCTTCTAACTCAAACGGCCCAATGACATAACAGTATCATCTAGAATTCGTGTCCATCGATGCTGCATTTATTAAAGTGTGTCCATAGGAGTGCTTCTAAGTAATTAGACGAAATTAGGTGGGGCTGTGGGGGGGCAAACGCCGTCGAAACATCCCTCCGGCTTCGGAATGATCCTATTATATCAATTTATAATTCTCCCTAATAGCAGAAGGGGGCTTTGGCAATATATGGTGCCCATCCCAATCCGAACTTTGCGAACTTGTCCGCCCCACAATTCTGATGTCGGCGGGTATGTCTAATTGCCACATTCCATTTCCAGGTAAGGTCAAGAAGAGTTCTAATTATAAAGAAACTGTTTACCGACTAGGCGTTCTCGCATGTCAAAAGGTCAACAGCCCCAGAGAGTCTCTACTTGTACATTTCTAAAACCCAAATCCTAAGAATTTCGAAGGCCATATAGACCCTAGAGTTATACCTCCAGGACACTGCAGCTTCCCAGGTTAGTAGCATATCCGATGATCCCATCACAATTCGTGAGAGCACCTCGTGCAGCAGCTTTTTCGGTGATGCTCCATCAGAGTTAATTTTAATCGTATTTCCTATTGGCGGCTTCCAGCTGTGCTATGTATAATTTTAGCCCTCATCGAGTGGCAATGTGGATTTTTTTTTTGTGCGAGGAGAAGGATTTGAATGGGATGAGATAAGAGTGGATTTTTTTCCCCTGTATTTATAAATATGTTTTGGGGGTGTATTTTATCGTGTGTCGATAACCTCAAGGTATGTTTAGATCGTTTAGTGTGCGTTTTTAGGTATTTTATGTTAAAAATATTAAAAGATGTAATTCTGCTATTTTAATTAATAGGCTCATTTTCTCTTTTGAGATATTATAAAATTTTGTCTCATTTCAAATATTAACATTAATTTTATATACAAATTTTCTAATATAGTCTCACTACTTTCACTAAAATTTAGAACATTTAATTGAGTACAACTCTCAATCTCACTATATTAACTAGTAACCACTGGTCATTAATAGGGACATATTAAGTGAATTACTCAAAAATTAACCATTTAAACTATATTGAGTGAACCTCAAAACAAGTCATCAACATTTAATATATTTCCACTCGGTTATCAATTAAATTTATTTGTAACACAAGTTACCTTACTAAAGTTTTAATCAATTTCAGATTATTATGATAATTTTGGCTGTTGAATAGTGACGGAAATCTATTTTTCACATGCTTTTGGGTTTAGGGGTATTTTTGTCATTTTATTATTTTTTAATTTTTTAATCTTTAAATTTTTTTTTTACAATTCTTCTTTTTATACTTCCTAACTTGTATACACCGGTAGTATATTTCTAAATTTTAAAAATTTATTTTCCTTTTGCATTTTAACTTCTAGATTATAAAATTTTTTTAAAAAAAATTAAGAAATGAAGAAGAAAAATTCGAGTTAAAATAAATATGAAAATTAATATTTACCATTTAAAAAAAAAGAAAAAATAAAAGAATTAGCTAAGACAAGTTGTTTCTTCTAGGTTATTTAATTTTTTTCAACTCGATTGAATTATTTAATTATTAATTTTCAAGTTTCTTATTCTTTTTTTTATAATCTAGAAGTTAAGATACAAATGACAAACAAATTCATTTTTGAAAATTAATTTGTCATTTGTATATTAACTTATAGATTATTAAAAAAAAAGGAATAAGAAACGTGAAAATTAATAACTAAATAATTCAATCGAGTTGAAAAAATTAAATAACCTAGAAGAAACAACTTGTCTTAGCTAATTATTTTAATTTTTATTTTTTTAAACTATTAAATTATTTATTTTCATGTTTACTTTAACTCGAATTTTTCTTTCATTTCTGAATTTTTTTTAAAAAAAATTATAATCTAGAAGTTAAAATACAAAAGGAAAATAAATTTTTAAAATTTAGAATTATACTACCAGTATATACAAGTTAGGAAGTATAAGAAGAATAATTGTAAAAAAAAAATTAAAATATTAAAAAATAAAAAATAAGAAAATGACAAAAATACACTTGAACCCAAAAACATGTGAAAAATAGATTTCCGCCACTATTTAATGGTCAAAATTAACAGAATAATCTGAAATGGATTAAAACTTTAGTAAGGTAACCTGTGTTACAAATAAATTTAATTGATGACCAAGAGTGGAAATATATTAAAAGGTTAATGACTTATTTTGAGGTTTACTCAACTATATTACCTATTTTTTTTCTTAATCTCCGTGTTTGTCTAAATGAGGTTATTGAATTGGAATGGAAGAGATATTGAAATGTATAAAAAAAAGGGTTAAAATGAGATAATTATTACTATTATATTATTCTTGAAAAACCATTGAAAAAATAAACAAACAGAGCCTTAACTTTTCACATAAGTGACTTTTGTGTCTATGTTTTAGCAGAAAGAAATAATGTACAGTTTTAATAGTAGTAATTGAAGTGTCCGAAATAGGTTTACTAATAATGTACAGTTTTAATAGGAATATGCCGGATTACTTGGAAGTTAAACGATCATTTTATTATAAATTATTTATTAGTAAACTTACTCTAACTAAGAATCGTCTTAATTATATTGTATATATGCAATACAATAATAATATTTTCCTTCTTTTTTTTTTGTAGACCTTAATTTGCTTAAAGACCGTCCTAAAGTATCGTCCGAATTTCGGCTTCGTTATTGATATTTTGATATCAAAATCGTCATTATCCCCTCCAACTACCAAATACTCCTCTCATGTCCGAACCATCTCAACCGCTCATCCCTCCTTTCTCTTCCACCGCTGCCAAGACCCACTCCAACCCAATCTCGCCACGTCATCCATTACCTCCTTGTGCTCCCGCCGTTTGCCATCAATTAATATATGAAGTACCTAGAAACACATTGTAAGGTTGTTTCTACTGAGGCATTCACGACCCACAAACTGTCTCCAGTATCAATAGTTACAAAAAAAATTCAATTGTAACACAGACTATGCTAAAAAAATATAAAAACTCAATTTATGTATTTTTTTGTATGAAATTAATTTTTTTCTCTGATAATTGTTCATTATTTAATATGTATTTTTCTAAATATTTAGTGTGGATTATATTGCATTCTAGAGACTAACTTAATGTTAAGTGGATTAGATTTTACAGCTATTCATCCTTTAAAGCATTAATTAGATTTTACAGCTATTCGTCCTTTAAAGCATTATTAATTAATCAATATTTTAGCCAAATAGAAATTTGATTGAAATGTGAAATCTAACTTATTGTAATATTTTCTTTGTTTGACTAGGGACAAAAAATACTTATCAAAATAAATTTGATCGGTCAAGAATTAAACATTTGACAAAGTTGGTGAAATCAACAATCAATATAAAATTATCGAGTACATGGAAATCCTTCAAGACGTTATATATAGAAACAATGATTATTTTTTTGTTCAATTTGATCTACTATAATGCAAAACTAAAAGTTTGTTAGTTTGACTACTGACAATAACTCATTCTGGGCCTTCTGGAGGTCTCTACCAAGACTTTGATATACGGGAATCATCAATTGATCCCTTTTCTTGATTGGATAGCATATGTTCTACCTTTACACAAGGAGACTTCCTTTGTTCGAAGTGGTAGCCAAAACGAAGGATGACCAAATCCTTTCACACGACTCAATAATTCATTATGAGTTCGAGCTTATATTTTTGTATAGTCTTTACTCTTTACCTTCCCTTCTGAAAGCATTACGAGTAAATTATACTCCCTCCGTCCCATAATTATTGTCCAGTTTTACTAAAATAGAAAATTTTATTTTTAGTCAAACTTAACTATATTTTACCTTGAACAACCGGATATACCCCTACATAAGTAATTGTTTACTAAAGACAAATGTGTAACTTGATCCATAAAAAGTCAAATTGGACAATAATTTTGGAACAAAATTTTTTGGACAAAGTGGACAATAATTATGGGACGGAGGGAGTAATGTTGTTAGTCTCCTCTTCATCTTCAGACTTTTGACCTCATGTTGGCAGCTTATGGGGCCGATGATCCATTACGTACTCTTGTTCTATATGCGGTTGAGACTCCAGATAATCATCGAGGAAATGGTGGTAAGCCTTTCGTCCAATAACATTCATTTGTTAGAGTGGGCCGTTCAAATCTTGAACAGCCTTAGAATTGACCAAGTTGGTTGCTCAGAGATCTCAACATTTTGAATATGATTGCTCCAGTTAAAAACACCAGTGGGGTGTTTCATCATTATTGGTATTGATATTTTCTATCTTTTTTCACCAGGATGAATTAAATAGACTAGGTAATGAGAAAATGGTCGATTTGACCTAAAACTTCAAAAGTATTTTCGAAAGTCAATTTCATCTTGATAATTCCACTTTTTACCAATTTTATCCAATTTAGTTAACTTTAACCAAATTGTTGTATTTCTTTCGTAAATTGCCCGCACCCAAATCAAACTTAACTTATACCCATTAACCACCACTCCCTTTATCTCTCTCTCCCAATGTATCGATCTCTTGTCCGATTAATCAGACACGATTTCAATCGATTAAGCTTGCTACTTGAAAAAGGATTTTCATCCCTTGGGCTTCAGACATAATG